ATTTGTTCTTTCCTTCGCATTATTTTTATATATTTCTTGCTTGTTCCTTTTCTCGTCTTATTTTTCAGACGAGAGCTATCTCGGATATCTCTCAATGACGATGCAGGACCGTTTCTCTTAATTAGCAATGGCATCGCGCGTGAAATTTGTCTCAGCTTCGTTTCCAGGATTCGCCAAAATGAGATCATTATACGCTTGTACTCGTATCTCTCCTTCGTTCACGCTGAATCCCTAATCACTCTAGATCGCTAATCTTTTACGATCGTTTCTGCTAAATGCGGCTGATCAATCTGATCTGTTTCTGTTCCTTTACGTTCTATGGCGTAAATGTTTACAGCGTTTGTTGCATCATCGAATTTGCACAGCGTCGTGCAAAAGTCTCGGATTATTTAACAAATGGGATTAAAAGATTAGTAAAAAAAAAGAAAGAAAAGAAAAAGAAAATATTCTTTCGCGAAGATGACAAGTGAAATCAATTGAAATTTATTTAAAGTGCAGACTTTGTTTTTCTGTAAGAAATTATCTTTTATCTCTGTTGATTGGAGACTGTAACAACGTAGATTTTGAAACTAACTTTCAAACCCCGAAATTAATTACGAAAATTCGTAATTTAATTTAATTCGGATAAGCCTCGATCGAAATTTATACGAGTTCCAACATTTTTAATTTAATTTCATTCCGAAAGACTTGGCAATCCAAATTACTATCTAATGATATCAATTTGTTTTAAAAAATCGCAAGAAATTGCGCAGAACGCGCGCAATACGAAAAATATAGTATTTTCTGTGACATTCAATTCGCAGAAAATTACGAAATCTTTGATTTTTCAAATAATTACCTATTCCAATGGACAACTATAGAAAAGGCTCGAGTCCTCTGCACGAAACTGTACGAAACGCTGTATTGTTACATCGGCGAGAATATTTCTGTGTTATTACTCATTACATGTAAATTGTCATTGTCGTTTAATTTCGCGATAAATGTGTATGTTCGATGTTCGTATCCTCATTGAAGCGTATTATTAACGAAAATTTGGAAAAATTTCCATCGTTTCTGCTCGATGACACTCGGAAAAGATGATGGTGTATCGTGAATCACGTACTCTGTAACAGGCTTGAGCATTGTCCAAACAATAGTGAAACAAATTATACGTTGTCTCATTTAGCTAAGACTACATTACTTCAAATAACTGGACAACTTCTTACTTGACTCTTTGTTTCGTATTTGAATGAATTTTCATCCAAATCATTTCACAAATGCTTTGTTTTATATTTGAGTGAATTTTTGTCTAAATAATTTCACAAATGCTTTCGAATCGTCGTAGGTGCCTAAATAATTTTAATTATCTAAATATTAGGTGAATCTTTTAATTACCTAAATAATTAGGTACATAAATATTTTAATTACTTAAATATTTTAATTGCCCAAATAATTAGATACCTAAATATTTTTTTGCCCAAATAATTAATGACCTAAATATTGGGTACCTAAATATTTTAATTACCTGAATATTTTAATTAGGCAGTTACCTAAATAATTTCACAAATGCTTCCTAATCGATAGGTTTCAAATTATTTGTCATTTCATTTGAATAAAATAGGAAATTCTTTTCCAACAATAATAACAAATAATATTTTTAACTTTATTCCAAGCTAAAACGTGCCCAAGCCTGCTTCGTGGTCTGAACTATACGTTTATCAAATAACAGCACTACAAAATGTGATGCATTATTTTTTATTTAACACCAGAACTATCGAATTTCTTAGAGCAGTTTCGCAAATTTACGAAATCTGCGTTTTCACAAATTTGTGAATCCAAGTTCTTTTGTATTACGAACTTTCTCCTAGTCCTTGGATTTTTTTAATTGCTTCGACTTTTATACTTCGACAGTCGGTCGGTTAATTCTAGTGTTAAATAATGGTCTCGATAGAAGCTACGAAATAACCCTGTAATTCCTGGTTTTGTTTTTCTCGTACGCATCTTATTAATCCGTCATTCATTTTCGTTTCATTCTTTGCGTGACGTTTCGTAGAAGTCCAATCCATTGGCCTCGGCTATCAATTACGAACTGTAATTCTAGTAAAAAAAAATTTCTCTCACGCTGTGTGACGCCCTGATTGCATTACTCCACAAATTTTGTCGGTTCCACGATTTGAAATTCGCGGACGTTGTCAATTTTAATTTGATTTGATCTTGAAATCGTGTGACTGTTTTACCAGTTTATTTAATCTTCATATTAAAAAAAAAGTTTGGAAAATATCTGATCCTTTATGAACGAATCCTTTATGAACACGACCATTTTGCTTCTCAGCTCGTGTATTAAAAAATAATGTATTTTCAAGAACTATAATAATAAATCAAGTAGATTCTAATACATAGCGCGTTCAATTATTTTCATAAAACAGTAGATTTCTTTATTCCTAATATTTAACCAGATTAAATCACAGAGATGAAAGAGTTTACAGTAAAATAAAGAAAATACAAATGGATTTATTTACAGTGGATCCTTGATTATCGAACGGTTTGATATTCGAACGAAATTTAAAATTCGAACAAGAAATTGTCAGCAAACGAATTAAGTTTTATTATTAAGATTAAGGACATCGACGAGGAATTTATACTAATTTAAATATAAAATTGCTTTAAACACTCGAGCTGTTTCATATAAAACTGATTAATTATTACGGGAAATTTCAATTCAAAAATCGAAGCCTGGAGCTTGAGTATCATTCTCTAAAATCTCTAAAAATACATCATTGCGAGCCTCTAAGATTCCTATTTAAAAAATTGCAAATTAATCCTTCAGATCACTCTGATTTAGTATTAAATTTCCAGTTTAAACCTCGTATTAAAAAAATTGCAAGTTAATCATTCAGATCACTCTGATTTTAGTATTAAATTTCCAGTTTTAAACATCGTATCTCGAAAGTGAGAAAAAGTACTCGTCCACGAAAGGACTGAAATAAAAATAAAAATAACAATCTGCACGAATAGAATGCGAGATATTTAATTTCAACGTAAGCCACGCTCAGTCCTGCACGCGTTATCCTACGAATACGTAATGTGAAATTCGCTCGCTTTGAAAGAAGAAGAAAGAAAAAAAAAGGATAACAAATCGACGATTCCACGACAAGAGATCTCCATTTCTCGAAGCGCGCCCGAAGGAGAAAGATCGTCGATCAAAAATAACCGGTCGAAAGTGAAACATCGCATCGTTCTGATTGTTTTCAGATGCTGAAAACGAATATCCTCCCCGGCTCTGACGTTTCACAGAAGTAAAACGTTCACTGCGTTTAACGAGATCGACAAAATTTATGGGATAATTCGTTGCTGAAACGCGTACGAAACGTTGAAGTGATCGACGACGAACACACACACACGCACGCACGCATACAAACACACACACACAGAGTTCGTGCAATTCGACGAGAATTCGTGACATTTCATGCGACTATTTCGCGAACGAAACGAAACGAACTGAGAAAAAGATCGAACGAAGTCTAACGATATACGATTAACCGTCGAGGGACGATGATTTTGGACCTTTCGATCATTAATCCTTTTTTATTCAATCATTCGAGTGTGCTGGAGAATCGCAGAGATAATCTGGGACGCTTAAAACACAGTATAATAAATTGGTTTGCTTCTCAGGGGTGGAAAATAACATACTATACAATGTTTTGAATAAATGGTACATGCTTTGTGGGCATTGGGATCATTCTCGATTTCTTATTACTATCCTTAGATTTTATTAAAATTTGATCTTATATCAGATTGAAAGATTTAATAAAAAAACATTTTATCAAAATGCACACATGCAGATTAATAATCTACGCTTTCTTCTTTCGTTTTCATCGTGGCATAATCATTCATGTCATATTCTACACTGTATACTGATTTTTTTCTCCTTAGTTTAGTAACTTGGTTATTAACTTAACTTCGGCTTTTAAATATCCGAGTGAAAACTTGTATCTTACTTAATTGAGACTGCGATAATAATTCTGTATTGTATGTGTGTAATACTTTAATAAAATTCTTACAAAGTACAAAACGTTGAAAAATGCGAATGTTCCTGATTCAATGGCCAGTTACATCAAAACGCACATGTTTAAAGACAAGTGCATTCTTTATTTATATTATAATTTATCACGTGCCTCTCACTTGATATTAATATTAAGAACCAACGATGCATTATTTCAATTTCGCGGTCATTCATTTGCAAATTTTCAATAAAGTTTTAATTCTCATTATATTTTATAAAGGAAGTTCCAAGGAATGTATTTATAATATTTTCTCACCATTGTCTCCACCTAAATTTCACAGTTCAATAAAATGTGAAAAGAAATTGAATATTTCCCTGGCATTATGATAAATCACTGTTTGGATAGCATTTAAGAATTAACACAATAATAATAATAATAATTAGACAGATTTAATAATAATTGTCACAACTTTAAATGCCATCTTTGGTCGCGTCGATTTCGTTTATGTACAATTAAATTAATTCGAATTATATTTTATTTTAGTATTTTTAAATTTAGTATTTTTAAAGTAATTCCTGATCATCGTCCCTGAAGAGTTAACTCGCTCGTTGTGAATGTCGGTTCCTATATACAATTCATAGAGAGCAACGAATCAAAGTAATCTGTACAATGACAACAACAACAATAACAATAACAACAATAATACGATAGTGTATAATATATATATATATATATATATTATGTATACATATATCTATAGCTCGATAAAAAGTAAAGAGAAAAGAAGAAGAAATCGATCCTGCCAATCTCTCTGGATCCTTATCGAAACGTAAACGTGATTGTGACGCTGAAGAATAATTAACATACGTTGTAGACATATATATTACTTTTTACATCATTAAAACGACACTAAATATACACCTACACATACAGAATTCTCGAAGAAAATATATCTCTCGCGTTTTTTTTTCTCTTAGTGAGATTTTCCGTTTCTTTTTTTTTTCCTTTTTTTTTTTCTTCCTTTATCCTCGAAGTATTTCGTTATGGTTTGTAGAATGTCCGATCGCGGAATACATTTTTTCTTTTTCTATCGAAAGAAATGTTACAATTGTTTCGTGTGATTGGTATAGTATGTCCCGTGATAACGCTATTGACTACGAACGCGTGACGTATCAACGTTAAATATTCAACTATACCTAGTTGTCCTTTTTTTTTATTTTTCTTTTTTTTTTTTATTCACTTACAAATGTACGTATATACGCAGTATGTATAATATTTATATGTGTATATTAAAATATTGACAGAAGGAGACAGAAGTCTACGGTAAAAAAAAGAAAGCTTCTACAAAATCGTAATAGGCCTAAGAGATACGAATAGTTGAATATCGTTGACGAATGGTCCGGATATCACAAATTAATTCACGCCTCTCGACTCTTCGTTCATCGATCGAACATGCTACTCATTCTGTTTGTCTTTTTCCTCTCGTGTGATGTGTTTACCAAGAAACGAAGAAACTTTCTATTTGAAACGTGGATTCTAGTTTTTACATTAAAAAATGCTCTCACGTTGCAATGAATGTTCTTAAAAATGAAAGTTTCAGACAGAGTAGAACTTAGAAAATATACAAATGAAAATTTTCCTGTCGGAGGAACAGAATAATCTGTTGGTCGATATTAAAAAAAAGATTCTCAATACTTGTAACAAATGCCACAAATTCAATGAACGGTAGTCAAATATGAAAATGGATTTTTAATTAGAAGTAACTTGCTTCCATGGAACTTTTATTATACAGATTCTCTAAAATATCTGTTCCAATTATTATTCAAAAGTATTTCCAAGTGTGACACTGCTTTCTATAAAAATTTCGCAAAAACAGATAATTTTGTGCACGAAATATGTAAGTTCGAACAGAATTTTTTTTTTTCGGAAACGGAAAACTGGAATTTATCGAAATGAAATATCGATTTTAATAATATTCGAACAGTATCATTCGTGGATGATTATATGCGACTTGGATTCGAAGTTACTTAATTAATCTTTTAATTTAAGCATGTTGAATAACTTAATTTAAGTGGATGAGGAATTTAAAATGCTAAAATTCTAAAAACATTGTAAATTTTTATATAAAATTTAAAAAAGTAAGAATAACACACGTCATGGTATTAAAAAAAAAAAAAAAAAGAATAGAAGTAATTTCCATTTAGCTTCTACGTTTTTAATTAACGAAATATCAAACTCCATTATGAATCATCCACGACACAATGGTACGAGCAAAAATTTCCCAGTTATACTAATACGAAATTTCAATTGTAGATTGCATTCTCAATGTAGAATCGTTTTAAAACGTAACATTTGCTGGAAATGTTCTGAACAAACGCTGAAATGTCAATAAAGAGGGATAGACAAATACAGTGAAGAGTGTAATTGAACCATTAGCTCACAGATTTTCTGTAAATCCTTTCTTATTACTGTCGATAGAAATACTTTTGGTAGTTGAAACTAATAATCTTTCTAATCAATACTGGAAAAATTTTGTAACAAGGAATATATGTAATATATTGATTTTCAGTTTTTTACAGAATATTTTTGTAATTAAATTCTTCAATTTGAATAACTTATTAACATCCATCTCTTTAGCTTTTAGATATGGGCTCTGTTGCATTTTCTTTTTTTCATTATCATTCATTGTACAAGATTTCAATGATATCAGGTTGAATTTCATCTCACTGTTCTTAAATTTCCTTCAGAAATTCAGAAATCAATATTGATGGACATTTGCAATTTTTACACTTCTCTCGAGAAATTTTTGATATTCTCAGCTAATTGAGATTTAATAATTTCTTCAATAGACGACATACTTTCAATTGTATCTAATTGTTCCATAAAATATCTTGTGCACTGTCTGTTTCATATACATAAAACAAATGAAATCGTCAAATTGCTTGTTACGTAGCACATAAAAGGCATCCACAACTCAAAAATTTTAGATAGAGTTTAGATCAGCATTAATCTTCAGTATGCAGCCGTTTCGTTACTTCAATATTAACAGCGGTGAAGAATGATTTACGGAAAATCTTATCGGCCTAATCGAGTCCAGTTACGCTTCTCACTCTAGATGGTGAGAGGACACGCTTTGAATTTTCATGGCGAAATCGAGAGGACTAAGCAGAAATCCAGAGCGAGACACGATCGTCGCAATGGTCCACGCAGTGGTATCACAAGTCAATTTGTTTCGTTCGATTTTTTTCATTGGCTTTTCTTATCCAATGGCATAACACTGGCATCTCGTAAAACACCTTTGAAATCTCGCGGGTTTCCTATCGTTCTCGATGAATGGTTTATCGTTCACGGGTACAGCAGCTCTCTGCCGCGACTCGGATTACGCTTTTCAACAGAGGATTTCTTCAATGTCTCGAGTGGTTCACGTAGATTCCAACACGCCGCCGGCAAGTTTGGTCGCGTATAAATTTAATGCCTGAAAAATTCGAAGATCATTAACGAATAGCATAACGAATAATATTTCGAGGAATTTTTAAAAGTAATATCTAAAGTATAATTTTTGAATTTGTAAATTTCAACATTTTTGAATTTATGAATTTCAATATTTAAAATATAATCTTTGAATTTATGAATTTCAATATTTAAAATGTAATTTTTGAATTTATGAATTTTAATATTTGAAATATAATTTTTGAATTTATAAATTTCAATATTTAAAATATAATTTTTGAATTTATGAATTTTAACATTTGAAATATAATTTTTGAATTTATGAATTTTAATATTTAAAATATAATGTTTGAATTTATAAATTTTAATATTCAAGAAATATTATTATATTTAAATATTTAGTAGCGAAAATTAATTTAATAATTTTGTATTTCGCATGAATCGATATATCAATGATATTACCAATTATTTATGAATTAATCACAATTTCACGGTGAAAATGAATAAATGTTAATCGTTGGTTAAAAGTATGATCAGTGAACTCTACCATGCCAATTACCATTTCGAACGCTACATCATCTAATACTACTATTAAAATATCTATCACTGTCTAACTAATTTCGTAAATATTATAAATTACTGGACAAGAAAATCGCTGCACAAGCTGTACCCATCAGCTTCACGGTTCTTGCAACATTTTATCGCGAGCCTCTTCAACTAGCAATAGCCCGATTTCCTCGAAGTGTATCAACCAATCGAAACAATAAAGCAAACGACCTGAAAAAACAAGGTACTTGCGGACAAGGGAGAGCTTTAAAAAGCCAATTACCTTGTAAATGAAAGCGTATTGTTCTTTCGTCTTGACAGCCCCAGCACGATCCCGTCTGATAGTGTAAACGACCCTTGGCACGTCCACAGTCCTCGTAATCTCATATTGTCTAATTCCTAGGTCAAGAGCTATTAACGTTCCCGTGCGTCCAGTGCCGGGGCTGCAGTGGACCACAATAGGTCCAGGACCACCCCTTTGGAGTGCCCTTGCCTCGAGGAGCACGGCTATTAAACCTGCACCGTCCGATTGCACTCCGTTCACTGGCCACAAATACCAAATATGATACACCTCGCGGAACGTGTTCTTCTCCAAATTCTGCAAAAATTACATTTCAAGTCAGTTTCACGTTGCAATGGCATTTCCATATTCGCGGCGATAGTCGATTAATCGACCAGGCGGATTTTAATTTTTGCTTTAACTTTGAACTCTATATTATACTACATATATATTTAATACACATATATATTATAAATATATATGTGTATTAAATATTATTATATGGCAAGTCAATGTTTTACCATGAATATAATTGAATATGAATTATAGTATAATATAGTTAATAATTAGATAATGATAATCACAATAATATAATTACAATTGTAATTATATTATGTTATATTATTATAGTATAGTATAGTTAATAATTAGATAATGATAATCGCAATAATATAATTACAATTGTAATTATATTATGTTATATTGTTATAGTATAGTATAGTTAATAATTAGATAATGGTAATTACAATAATATAATTAAAATTTTAATTATATTATATTATGTTATACTATTATAGTATAGTATAGTTAATAATAGATAATGATAATTACAATAATATAATTACAATTGTAATTGTATTATATTATGTTATATCATAAATAGGGTATAAGATGTTATAATACAATAGTTTTTATATATTCTTGTATGAGAAAAATCTTAAAAAGTTTGTAAAATATTCGTATAGTAGTAGATTTTAACTCTGCCTTAACTTTTAACTCTCGGATATATTATTATATGGTAAGTTAATGTTTTATCATGAATATAATTGAATATGAATTATAGTATAATATAGTTAATAATTAGATAATTACAATAATATAATTACAATTGTAATTATATTATATTATGTTATATCATAAATAGAGTATAAGATATTATAATACAATAGTTTTTATATATTCTTGTGTGAGAAAAATCTTAAAAAGAAGAGGTGCAAGATCAGAAGAATAGGTTTGTAAAATATTCGTATAGTAGTACTTTTCATATTTAAGATTCTTAGAGATTCTATTTTTTTTTTTTTCAATTATACTGTAATTCAATCAAAAATATAAATTTGATAAAACTCCGCATATCTATATAATCTATTCACGCTAACTCATATAAATTTGATAAAACTCCGCATATCTATATAATCTATTCATGCTAACTCATACTAACTAAATGCGGTGAAACAGTTTGAAAGTAATATATATATATTAACATATACAATATGCAAAATTAATTACATATTAGAATATGTTTCTTATGTATTAAAATTGATTTTTAATAAATTATAAATATATATTTATATGTTAAAACACATTGAAATATATTTCTACATATATGTAATTATCCACCGATTCGTAATAAGACGAGAATAGATGAAATGTAATAATATAAAAATATAGTAATATTCTTTGCTGTTCCTTACATTCAAATGAAGGGTAGAAATGGCGTATTTCTCTTTGGTTTCTCTCTTCTTCAGAGTAACTTGGAAATCGCCGTATAACCGGCGACAATCGGTAACTTCAGATGGTGGAACGTACTCGGTACATTTCTCCACCCCGTTCTCAACGAGATCGGTCAGCATGATGATCACTTTGCACTGTTGTTCCCATATCATTCTCCAGAAGTCGGTGACGGTCGACTCCATCGGTGCTTGACACGCGACGTAGTATTTCGTTGCGTTCTTTGGCCCCTAAAATTCAATTTCAACGACCAATTACTTTACTGGATAATATGAAAATTGCAATTAGATTGATCAGATACATTTTAGAAGATTTTCAAATAAATTTCAAATCTTTTTTTTTCTAAAAATTATTATTTCGCTTAATATTGGTTCTTGTTTAGACAGAGACGTGATTGTATTATAGTATTTAAAATATAAAGAAAACTTCATTACAAGTTGCACATTATAATTTTTTTGTGTAAATTGTAAATTTTCATTACTTGTTACTTTCCTCTGGCCTTTTATAATTGGCAAAAAAAAGAAAAAAAGAAATATTGTCAAGCACTGTACACACATCAAATTCATAAAGAATTCTCTCATAGATATCATTTTACTCGGTCCAAGACGCAGCCACAGAGCAATTACACAGAACCGGAATTAATTAGCGAAATGCTGTAATCGCTGTTAACTTGAAATTAGTCCAGCGACGATGTTCGCTTGTTTCGGGCCGAGTCGATTGCAGCTCGAATCAATTAACTTGCTCGATAATTGCATTGTGCACCGAGGACACGATACCGATCGATATTATCGATCAAGAAGTAGCGGTCGGGCGCTAATTACAAGTTTGAGAACGTTGCCCTCGCGGTGCGTTCGGCGCGCATTAATGGCGGCATGCTGCGTAATTGCGACACACGCACAAAGTGGAAACATGAAGTGGAGAAGTGCTGGACCATACGCATCCGTTGGTTCAAGTCGATTCTAATGGATCGCTCGTTATTCCTTAACCTCTTGCGCTGGAATGACGGTGCCACGCACGTCGAGGATTTTTTTGTTCCAAAATTGCAATAATTCCTCAGTTTTTTTTAAGTATATAATATTTAAATTTTTTAAGTATTTAAGTATTTAATATTTAAGTATCTAAGTATTTAAGTATTTAAGTATTTAATATTTAGTATTTAATATTTAATATTTATTATTTAAGTATTTAATATTTAAGTATCTAAGTATTTAAGTATTTAAGTATTTAATATTTAGTATTTAATATTTAATATTTATTATTTAAGTATTTAATATTTAAATTTTTAAGTATTTAATATTTAATATTTAAGTATTTAATATTTAAGTATTTAATATTTAGTAGTTAATATTTAAGTTTTTAAGTATTTAATATTTAATATTTAAGTTTTTAAGTATTTAATATTTAATATTTAAGTTTTTAAGTATTTAATATTTAATATTTAAGTTTTTAAGTATTTAATATTTAATATTTAAGTTTTTAAGTATTTAATATTTAATATTTAAGTTTTTAAGTATTTAATATTTAATATTTAAGTTTTTAAGTATTTAATATCTAATATTTAGTATTTAAGTATTTAATATTTAATATTTAAGTTAACCCAGGCAAAACACAAAAGCAAAATAAATTTATTACTTCTCAAAATTATTGTATACGGTTATCACTTCTCTAAATTATTGTGTACGGTTCGGTCACTCGTTATGGTCCGCAATCAGTTGCCAGCGCAAGTGGTAAATGTCCTTTGAAACACGAACGTTGTGAATCAGAGATGATGATGATGGTGATGATGATGATGATGATGATGATGGCGACGAAGAGATTTTTAAACGATTTACGACTGTTTGAGTGTGAAACGTTGGCATTTATATTTGTATAATATAAAGAGATGAACACAATGAATGAATGTGTACTGTTATGTAACAGTACCGAGCGCTGGAAAATGATAAATAAGCAAGACAATGAAGAATATTTGAATTATGTGTGTGTATATGGGTATATTCACATAGTGGTTCGTAAAAGTGTTCCAACACTACCCTAACTTGTATAAATTAATAAATAAATTAATAAATAAATAATTTGTATAAATTAATATATTATTCTTCACAGTGTGTTGGGTAAAATGTTTTCGAATTTCATTAACACCGTAATGAGACACGAGTGTATTGTATTTGTAATTGAAGGCAATCTGATTGTTTTAATTGTTTGAAAGTCTAATATAGATATAGGGATTTTGTGTATGTACATGGAGAACAATTTTGAATTTCATTAACACCGTGAAATGAAAACGTGACTGATTATGTGGCAGAGATCGAAGCCAATGACTGATTACTTTAAACATCCAAAAACTTCCCATAAAAGAAGATTCATGTGTACGTATATTACGTGTGTTGTGCAGTATGGAGTATTTCAAAATTTCATTTCACTGTCATATAAATTAAATTATTCTGAATCTAATAAATGTACAGAAATCGTGCGTGTTATATAAGAATTAATAAAATTCTATATATAATATAAACTTTATAATTTTATAATTAACAGAATTCTACAAAATTAATAACACATCGGAATGATTTTCAACTGTCCAGTTGAATTCTAAAATAACAATAAAACTCGAGTCGTCAGTTAACAGCGAGGATAAATAAAATAATACTTAAATTACTCACTTAATTGGATCATCTTTGCACAAAATTAATGAAAACGAACGAGAATGAAAACTCTTTGTGAAAAATTAATTCTTTCCATGAAATGTAAAATTCGCGACGTGATGAAACAGACACGATGTGCCGAGAGAGCGACGATTAATCGTTAATTTATGGTCGATCCAGTGAGTTATTCAAATCCTCCGGCACATGGAGATGGAAACAGGCGTTGACATTTGTCCTGCTTCCGCGTATTGCTCGTGCTTATGCAACAACACGTCGTTCGTATTCTTCTCGCAATGAATTATGCAACATCCTTTTCTCACGCAGACAAAACGCCGCGTTAACCCTTGCTCGTGCGCGCGATTCCATCCGATTCGCTCGAGATACGCGAGCCAGGTGTTTTTATTAAGCTGATTTTCCTGTTAAGATTACACGGGGGATTTTGCTCGATAAGGGGAAATGAATGGGACCGAAGGCGAAACACTCGTCGGAATGAAACGAGTGGAAAGAAAGTGGAAACTTTATTTCCTCGTGCAACGGAAGTAAATAACAAATTATTTTCTTTTCGCGTGAATCGGCACACAGTGATTCAACGGAACTCGTTACACTGTCCCGATAAATTTTAACGTGCTTCTAGAACGGTGATTTTTTTTATTTTGGGGTGGATTTTCAGGTATTGTTCGAAGCAAATTATTTTCGAAAAGTGAAAGGTGCACGGTAATTGCAGTCTGCATATTTGGAATAATTTTGTAAATTTTTTCTCCCAAATACGATGATGCGCGAACGAAGTTTCGATGGATTTTCAAAAGCACACCTTACTTTGTGAGAACTTGGAATTGTCATTTCTTTCTTAAATGGAATGCGGTCTTTTAAATACCAAACGCAAAAGTATTCGAATATTTATGCTGAAAAATATTTAATACTTTCAATCTTTCATAGATGGCCTTCAATCTTTTATACGTGTGTATAGTAACATTTATGTACTGTATGGCATTTTATTTATGGTATATATTTTTACTAAATCATTGAAATTCAACAAACGATCTCTAATTGCCTGACATAGTTAAAGAAACATGAAAAAATTTTGAAAAATGATTTTCTGTCACATTTTTTTTTTTTTCTTTTTTCTCTTTTGATTACCCCATAAAGGGTTAGTATTGCAGGGAAAAAGAAAGTACTACGTTATTTCTAAGGGTGTGCGAGAACCTGAAAATTTCGAGATTCCCGAATGAATTGGGTTTCGAGATTCGCGAAAATTTCGAGAACCCGGCTACCGTATAGCAGCCTACAAAATATGTAAATACACAGTTCAATTTCTTCTGTCAGTTCTCGCGAAGTTATTGGTAACACGGATTCGAAGAATTATGTGACCTGATGTAAGCAAACGTGTGACTGGGTGCTTAGTACTTGGACATTGTGTACGCTGTTGATCAGTATCGCTGAGAAACTCGGAAGGCTCAGACGTATATTTCAAAGTCTGTGTGAATTTAATAAAGATTGAAAATCTTTGAAAAAAATGTCGAGTGATAGTGAGAGTAAAGTTGTGGTAGCAGGAAGTAGTGCGGAAGATATCGTGCAAAGGAAGAGGATAAAGAGAAGCTCTGTTTGGGAACATTTTCAGGAAAAAGATGATACAAAGGCGGAACGCACACATTGTCACCATGAATTTTAAATTGTAAGTATGCAAATACTACTGGTTTATTACGCATTTGAAGCACACGCATTCAAGCATAAGTACATGTACTAGAAAAGAAACTGAATCGATATAAAATTTGTCGCATGTGCAAAATGATACGCGAAAGATTGTTACTCCAAAAAATATAACAAAAGCAATTGCTTGAATGATGGTACTAGATCTGCGACCTTTCGATATAATTGAAGGCGTGGGCTTTAACGAATTATTTAAACTTGTTCCCAATCCTTTTCCAAATCCCAACTCTTTCGGGAATCCCGATTCTTTTGAGAATGATTAAAATAGAAGTATATATAAATATAAATTATTTTAAATTAATTCTTTATATATATATATATATATATATATATTAAAATGATTTATATTATATGTACTACTAATTTAATCATTATAACTAATTTCTTAATAAAATTTCTGTTTTTTAATAATATATATATATATATATAAATTATGATTTTAGTATTAATTAATAGAAAAAATTGTAAATTTAAAAATTAAATTTATATATATATATAATTATTAAAAGAAAATTTTTTTAATTTTAAAAAATTAGTTATAATGATTAAATTAGTAATATATATATATATATAAATATAAATGATTTAAATTAATTCTTTATATATATATATATTAAAATGATTTATATTATATGTACTACTAATTTAATTATTATAACTAATTTCTTAATATTAAAAATTTCTGTTTTTTAATAATTTTATATATATATATATATATGTATATGTATATATATGTAAGAATTATGATTTTAGTATTAATTAATAATAGAAAAAATTATAAACTTAAAAATTAAATTTATATATATAATTATTAAAAGAAAATTTTTTTAATTTTAAAAAATTAGTTATAATGATTAAATTAGTAGTATATATAAATATTTTTAAATTAATTCTTTATATATATATATATATATATATATATATATATTAAAATGATTTATATTATATGTACTACTAGTTTAATCATTATAACTAATTTCTTAATATTAAAAATTTCTGTTTTATAATAATTATATATATATATATATATATATATATATATATATATATATATATATATATATGATTTTAGTATTAATTAATAATAGAGAGAATTGTAAATTTAAAAATTAAATTTATATACATATTAAATATATAATTATTAAAAGAAAATTTTTCTAATTTTAAAAATTTAGTTATAATGATTAAATTGGTAGTATATATAAATATAAATTATTTTAATATATATATATATATATATATATATAAGGAATTAGGAGCAAAATAAATATATTCACGTGGCTACTCACCCGAACGTAACTGGCGTTGATGTATTCTGTGAGAGGGTCGTTGTTGATTTTTTGAAGGAGCACCCTCGTCTCTGGCAGCGGTATCACGTTCGCGTATCTGTTCTTCAGCTCGGCACCGGCCGGCAGCTCGTCGATCTTCGCCGAAACTTGCGGAATACCGGCGAACTCCTCGTTGATTGCGTTAACGTCGTTGCAGAAAGATGAAAGCGCGGCGAAATTCAACGGATGAGACGGTATGGCGCTCTGCAACCAAGGACAATGCGCGTGAAATTTTTCATGTAATGTACGAACGCGCAACCTTTCGTCGCAACGTTAATCAAATTCAGCGGAGTCTCGTTTCTGTTATTGTTGTTACGACTAATTTTGGCTCAATCCTTTCAGTCCTATTTCCTCGTTCTTTTTTTAACAATAAAAAGGATCCGTCAGTATGAAAAATTTCGGATTTTATTTATTTACTCTATTGAAAGAAAGGACCGACAATAAGAGAAGTTTAATCAAATCAAGAATTGACAATTTAAAAAGTAAAGACACACTCCCTCGAACTCGGTTAACGTTGAATATTTCATGATGCAGAAGAGAGTCGTGTAGTACCGAGAATTTTGAATTTTCCTCCGATTAGAACCGGTGAAAATCGGGATCTGGAAAATGCCTTCGAAATTTCAAACATTCATGATCTCTCCGAATTTCAAAATAGAACGTCGGTGACTTTCAAGTTTCAAAATATCGAAGGATATTGTTCGTAGTTTAAGTGGTGGGAAATTATTTTTATAGTCGAAAGAATTTCGTCCAACACCGATCCAGTGCTAATTATTATAAATAGATTTTCAGGTCTGAGCGAGTAACAACTTTTACCAACAGAAATTTAATTATTACGATAGAAGATTATTCAAATTCTTCTATTTTTTGTCCAATCTTTTCCATTTCAACATCTCAGATATATTTCTGTACGATAGGATAGAACTTATTAATTTTAATTGCCAAACTTCATCTGAAAAACGAAAGATCGACTTCAATTTAATTTAATTTAATTTAATTCATTGATATTCCGTTAAATATACAAATATCACAGAATATTCAGAACAATCGACTAAATAATGTAATAATAAAAACACTTGTCGGCTCGTTTCGATAAAATATCGTGCCAATATCCGGTGAAAGAAACGAGAACTGGGTATTCCAGTTCGACATTGCACGACTCTCCCCTACTTTTATTTCTTACAATGCTTTTCTACGCAAATTTCAATCCTCTGAAAGGCTTTCAATGTTATACCTATAGTATAGTTGCATTATCATACGGTGCATTATTTTTCCTTTACGAGGGTGTAGTTTTCTACTAGCAACATCTAAATCAATGCTACGTTGTCACGTCGTTATATCGTTGCACGTGAAAAATGAACTACTGAAAAGAGAACTTTTGTACAAGTTACCTGACGAGTTAATTTATATTTACAAGAACGTGTTAAACGTATGCTACAAAAAGAAAAGAACATTTTTTTTTTTTTTTTTTTTTTTCGAGAACGCATCAGAAAGCAGAAATGTTTTTATGCATGAGATGACATCACATCCACTCTTTGTCAATAAAATTTTCAATTTTATTCGTGTTGCTCCACAAAATTGTGGCAAATTGTAGAACGTGCCTCGGAAAATAATTGTTTGGAGCTTGCAGAGTAGTGCGTCGTTTTAACAATAAAATAATAATAGAATTACGTATGAAATAATAATAATAAAATTATAACTATATATGATAATAAATTTATTAATTTATTATATTAAATTATAATTATATATATTATATATATAATTTTATATATATATATATATATATAATAATAATAATAATAATAAAATTATTTGTACGCGTGTAACAAGATGAAATAAAATTCCACTCCAATCGCATTATAATCGTGATCGTAAAACCGAAAAGATTTTAAACTTCATTTGTCGATAAGTTTGTGATCCTCGAGTTTATAAACCAGTAAAGAAAACTCTCGCGTAGAGTAAAATACTCTGTTCCACATCTCGAGTCGCGACACAAGCATAAGTTTGTCTTCGTTCTGCTTGATTTACCTAATAAAGAAAGTTGAGCGGTAACGAAACAAAATCAGTACGTCTTTTAAGCGATTGATTGTATTCGTTGGTTCTTCCGCATTTGTCCTACGAGCGATAAACATTTATGTTCTTGTCGATGCACGTGGAAGATATTTTCCATTCGTTTCGGAATAAAATTAAAGCTTCGCGATTATTGTTAGACGCGAAAGAGAGCAAAATGTTTCAAACGAAATTAATTACTTAATTACTTAATTAATTACTTAATTAATAAAGTAGAAAGTTAATGCTACGTAAAAATTATTCATTTTATTTTATTTTATTTCCAGAAGCTTCATTTTATTTTATCTTATCTCCATAAGGTTCATTTTATTTTATTTCATTTCCATGAAATTCATTTTATTTTTCCTCATTTTCCATAAAATGCTCCTCACCTATTTTGGAGCTATTAATTTTCGTTGATGAAATGTTTTATCGAAATTAACGAAGGAAGTAGCTTTTCGTCGATCATTCAGAGCGAAGTGTTTTAAAAGATTTGAAATTATTTCTATTCAAAATACAAACTATTCTTGTCATTGTACAAAGTACAGTCTTCATTTTCTGAAAAGATAAGAAAGTATTCTCCAATTTTATGAAAATTTCACTGAGAAATACCGTAATTATCAACGGATTGCAATGCGCGAAATTTACACACGTGTTATATCCCTGTTATTTTCCAAAGTACGTTCCTCATTCTTTCAGAAGATACTTTTATAGAACACTTATACTGTTTCGGAAATTGTTCATCTCACGCAGTTTGAAGTTTTAACGGAAAATTTCAAAATTGGTAGCAAATTGTAACTAGACTGCGGATGTTTATGCACATCTATGATAATTCCACATGAACACAACTTACAGAAACAGAACTTACTTCATTTGCCAAATGTTATAAAGATCACTGCACTTCGCATTATTATGCACAGTTACATAATAATCTGCAGTCCGACACTCAGACTGACATTTTTATATACAAACTATACATATCAATGATATTTTATGTACAAAAAAAAAAACATATTTTTATGTGTAATATTAAAATAACAATATTTTGTGTATAAATATCAAGTAACTAGTAATAAATAACTAGCAACATTAATTAAACATATTATAAATGTATTTGGATATTTCTTTGTATTTAAAATCCAAATATATTTATAATATGTTTAATTAAAATATGTTACTAGTTGTTATGAATATATTTGGATATTTTATCCGTTTTTTTTTTGGTGGTAAAATGCAAATATATTTATAATATGTTTAATTAAAATTTTATAAAATTAATTTAAATAAAATTCTATTCAGACTCCTAGATAATATTATAATATTATTATAATATTTATAATTAAAATGTATATAATTATAATATATTTTAATTATAAATATAATAATAATGTTGTTATTATAATAAAAATTTAAAGATCCGCATAAAAACCCGCAGACTGCGCACACTGCGTTAAGAAAATAGAGACCATATTGGTAGTTTAATTAAAGTCGACGATTTCGAGCGACCAAAACTCACCGAATCCTCGAAAGTTGGATTCCCATAACTCCTTTTCGAAGATCTCGCCACGTCCTTGCGTCTGACGCTGTTGTAAGCGGAAACGCTGTCGAGGCTGTAAGCGTCCAACGACACTGGACGACATCGTTCGCCGTAGTTGAACCTCGTTTGCCTCTTCCTCATTATAAACTGCAAAACAATCGTCAACACCAGAGAATTAAAAACGCAACTTGGTCCTCGACTTGAACTTTCGTGAAACAAAATCTTTGAAACGAGGATGATGATGATGATGATGATGATAATGATGATGATGATGACGTACATCGACAGTGTGCAGTTTTTCAAAAGTCTGAGCAGCGTTAGAGCGTTGGCAGACGGTTCTTTATCGTGTCAAATTTTTATATTTTCAAATATTTTTCATTTTTATATTTTATATTATATGTATATTTATATTTTATATTTTTAAATTTTTATATTTTATATTATATTTATATTTTATATTTTTAAATTTTTATACTTTATATTATATTTATATTTATATTTTCTATTTTTAAATTTTTATATTTTATATTATATTTATATTTATATTTTTAAATTTTTATATTTTATATTATATTTATATTTTATATTTTTAAATTTTTATATTTTATATTATATTTATATTTATATTTTATATTGCATTCATATTTATATTTTTAAATTTTTATATTTTATATTATATTTATATTTATATTTTATATTGCATTCATATTTATATTTTTAAATTTTTATATTTTATATTATATTTATATTTATATTTTATATTGCATTCATATTTATATTTTTAAATTTTTATATTATGTTTATTTTTATATTCGTACGTCTCGTCTCATCTCAACACCGTGGATTGCAAACTTTGTTCTTCTGGAACTTCTGTTGGGACAAGTTCGTGTGTTTCTTCGCGACAATTAATATTCCAATAAATATTCGGCTTATTTTTTTTTCTTTTTTCAACGATGCGTGGATCGCATGTTTTTTTCCCCAGTATACAATGGCGGACAAAAGAAAGTTTAAAATATCACTGTGTCTATCTGTATTTATGCTTGACTCAGCAAGCAAACTTTCTTGCCTTGAAATATTGCGATTTCAAAAAAAAAAAAAAAAAAAAAGTAAGATTACGCTATTGGAATTCAAGTTTTACATTCGGATTCTCTGAAAATATCCATTTAAAAACAAAGTTTAGTTATTTCACGCGAGATTCTCAGAAAATATCCTCTCACGCAACTAATAATAATGCCACCTAACTTTAATTATTTGAAATAAAAGATTTCTATATTTCTGTATTTGAAATAAAAAATTTCTATGTTTATATACTTAACTACTATAACTCTATTATAACTCGTTAATAACTTAACAAAAACTCTGTGTTTATTGTAAATTCTGTAGGTACACAATATCGGACAAAATGATTTCACAAGAATTAAAAAGAAATGGATCGTTTTTGTCTTTCAAGCATTCTCTCTTGTTCATTGTTGTATCTCTGTGTCACATTTCCTGGCTTAATTCGAACTGTTTAACATTCTGGGCAACTATCTTTGACTAGTTAGGTTTTCTGAAAGGTTTCCTTGACTCATTTCGCAGCAGCCAAAGGAAACTCACTAGAGAATCTTCGTTTGTTACTGAATCTTTGTTGGAACTCCTGTTCATTGTAAAGGCGATCCACGCTTAATCCGTGTCTTGTAATTTTAACGTCTCTCTGTTCAAATAACGACCGTGCCTCGCGTTAACACTGGAAACTTGCGAACTGTTTCGAGGAATAAAATCCGCCGTTTTTCGCCACTTCGTGTAAACGAAGTATTCTAAACGAAATGCAGAAAGAAATCAAAGGTGTCCCAGTTTCCATGATCGACACGATCGAACTGTAAATGTACAATAACGCAATAATACAGAAGAAAATTGAAAGGAACGAGAAAGCTTCGTGGAAGAGCTAAGTTTTTGAAAATTTTGTTGCTTCTAGTCTGGAAATAAATACAAAATTAACAGTGAGTTCCGTGAATTATAATTTGATTAGCAGCCTACAAAATATGTAAATACACAAGTCAATTTCTTCTGTCAGTTCTCGCGAAGTTATTGGAAACACGATTGGGGAGTTCGAAGAATTATGTGACCTGATGTAAGCAACAAACGTGTGACTGGGTGCTTTGTACTTGGACATTGTGTACGCTGTTGATCAGTATCGCTGAGAAATTCGGAAAGCTCAGACGTGTATTTCAAAATCTGTGTGAATTTAATAAAGATTGAAAAAAATGTCGAGTGATAGTGAAAGAGTAAAGTTGTGGTGGCAGGAAGTAGTGCGGAAGATATCGTGCAAAGGAAGAGGATAAAGAGAAGCTCTGTTTTTGGAACATTTTCAGGGAAAAGATGATACAAAGACGGAATGCACACATTTGTGCACCATGAATTTAAAACTAAGTATGCAAATACTACTGGTTTATCACGCCATTTGAAGCATACGCATCCGAACGTAAGTGTATGTACTTGGAAAGAAATAGAAATAGCAATTTTTATTCGTTCAACTATTGATGTGTTTCCAGTGTTAATTCGCGTGAACCATCTCCTTGTACATCGTGTAACAAACCGTGTTTCTTCTGTCGAAACACGTCGCCGACAGTCGATTTCAACATCGAAACACACGTGAATCGAATACAGACGAGGCGAAAACCAATGAAGCGGTGATGCTCGATCTACGTATAATAGCCGATTCAGGGACGAGAATAAGCAGCTAGGTGCATCGTTGTTTTTTAACCATCGCGGTTTGAATAATCATATTTTTTCATTTAAATTCGAAACGCATTAAAAGAATTTTTATGCGCGTGTCGCTTTGAAAATCTTAATATTTACCCTTTTACTTTCAACGATCGGTATTTATTGCAGATGACGAACGTTTTTCAATTTTACACGTGTATTTTATAATACAATTATTAATTTATTGAGAAATATAATTAAATGTTAATTATATGAATATAATAATGTTAAATTGTGGAGAAAATTCTTTTGTAAGATAATAAAGGATCTGTCGTTTAATCTTTCTGACAGATGTATATAGCATATTTTGAATATGCATTGCGCGAGTGATATGAAACATTTCGAGATTTCAAGAAGCACTATGTTATATTTTATGTAGTCATAATAAATTCTAAATAATAAAATATATAAAATAAAAAGAATAATATAATAGTAATAACAAAATTCTAAATTTTATAATCGTAATAAAATCTAATTATATAGTTATATTGCATTTTATTACGTATAATAAATTATGTATAATTTTACTATGTATAGCAGCTAGTTCCCCTTATTCGTCAAGGCAGGATGAATTATCCTTTTATAATCGTGATAACTTCTAAATAATAGTATAATAAAATATATAATATAAAAATATAATATAAAAAAAAATAATATAATAGTAATAATAAAATTCTAAATTTTATGTAATCGTAATAAAATCTAATTATATAGTTATATTTCATTTTATTAATAAATTATGTATAATTTTATTATGTACAGTAGCTACTAGCTCCCTTTATTCGTCAAGACAGGATAAATTATCCTTTTATAATCGTAATAACTTCTAAATAATAGTATAATAAAATATATAATATGAGAAAAAACAATATAATAGTAATTATAAAATTCTAAATTTTATGTAATCGTAATAAAATCTAATTATATAGTTATATTTCATTTTATTAATAAATTATGTATAATTTTATTATGTACAGTAGCTACTAGCTCCCTTTATTCGTCAAGACAGGATAAATTATCCTCTATCTTTACTTTCCCAACGATTCCTCGGCGAAAATTGAACTTTATCTCCACGATACATCCGAATGGAAATCGAAATCTTGATTTCGTCGCAAACTCGCCAGTCAAAAGGAGAAAAAGCAAAGAAAATCGATGCGATGTCCACGATTTCACAGTCGCTCTAAAGGATTGAAAGAAACGTTGCATTTTTCGTAAAGGAAAAAAGAAAAAAAAAAAAAGAAAGAAAGCGGGACGACACGAACGTGAAAGCATAATAGCCACACTCACACAGACACATGTATTTTATCATTAATTGTTACGTACACTGGAAGTAAATCACAAGTGTGGACGGATGAACACGTAACACCGTGCGAAATGAGCTTTAATGCAAGCACGAGGAGCCTTTCTCACAGAGTATAGACTTTTGCTGACCTGCGTAACTGTGAATCTCGTTTTATTAGTTCCTTTCCTCTATTTTTTTTTTTTTTTTTTTTTTTTTTGTTTTTTTTTTTTTTTTTTTTGCTTTTTTTTATTTCTTTTTCTTCTCCGTGCGATTACTGTCAGCCGAGAAGCGTGCAACGAACGATAACACAACTCGCGACACTTCGAAGAGTTGGTAAATTATTCAACGAAAAATAACGAATTGAATTGATTTTCGGTGAACTTCCGATGATATTCATCCGTCTGAAAGTGACGGCAGATCGTACGAACGAGGATGTTTAATAAGCGAAATGAAAGAAAAAAGTGTAACTCGTTGAGATCGATTAAATCTCTCGCGAATCAGAGGGAATTTGTCTGCTCGGAAAGTGAGACGAATTTTATTTATCTATTAATCGTATTTGAATGTTCGTTAAAATTATTAGAAAGTCTGCAAGTTTATTATTAATCCCGCTACGATATTCGAATTTTCGTACTACGATTGATCGCTGGTTATTTCAGAGGACGAAAATAATTCAATCAGGATCACAAATATCCGGGAATGTTTATTTTAAAAGTTGTCCCGAAATTTAATTTGAAATTCAAAATCGGTTCGATCGATTCCATTTAAAATTCGCTCGAGAAATTTAATCGAGATCGGATGATCAAATTTTTACGTTTTGTTCCTTTTGCGTTTCTGACATTTTGTTCTTTTAGTGTTGGGAAAACAAAAAATGGCCGAAAGAACGGCAGCAGAGTTGACAAATTAATATTAATTCGATACATTGCAGTATGAACCTTGGAATTTAAGTAAACTAATTATTATAAATGCGATACTGAACACTTAAAGGGTTAATCGGACGAATTGAATTTCTTTCAATCGATAAAAAGAAATTTAATTGTACTGTTATTACCCAACAAATGTACAACCAGTCACGGAAACACATCTGTGAAATTACAAATTGTTTGACAAAAAATTTCAGAGAACATTAGACATACTTATTGGAGGAAAAAGTAATGATATTTGTTCAAAAATATAAATATTAATTATGAGTATATTAAAGTGTATTATTAAATTGTGTATTATTAAATTTATAATCAAAATAAATTATTATTGTGCATTATTAAATTTATGATCAAAATAAATTTTTGCTACATGTAGCATTTACTTTGCTATATGTATGATAATTGATAGATTGCAAACATATAATAGATATATAGATTAGATTGAATAATAAATTGAATAATAATCACTCAAATGTCTTTAATAGAATGTATTAATAATTTAATACAAAATCTCTGAATAATACTCAAAATTGACGAGCAACTCTCTACAGACACATATATCCTTTTTTCGAATTTCTATGTTCTCTACATAATTTCCATACAACATTCTTTGAAATGTAATATGTATATATATATTAAAAAGAGACGAACGAGTTTATTATTATCAAGATAGATCGTTAGATCTGTGTTCTCGATTTATTCGTATGTTCTTTGAAAGAAAGAAATTTCAGAATCATGTTAAGTAACTAACAAGTTACTTAAAATCCACAAAATGTCTAAAAATCCCCCTGCCCCCCTGTCTAAAATTTAACAGACGTATATAATCTTTCGTGACTGATTGCATTTGTAATGTTATCAAGACTACGGATCTCTATGCAATTCACAATTTTCTTTTTCTTTTTTCTTCGAATTTATGATTGAAGCTAGATATCGTTATAACGAGTGTATTATTTTCAACACTTTGAAAACTTTCCTCTGAATTTTAATAATTAAATTTCTTTAAATTTCAAAATTATTTCAGAACGCACAAAAAATCCGCATCTTTAATAGAAGATTGACAAAAAAAGATCGTTACCAGAAGACCAGCCAGGAGGACTAGGCAAATCAGGGCAACCGAGGAGACCACGACGACCGCTATCGCGTTTCCGGAATCCGGAACCGTTTCCTGTACCAGAAGAAATCTGTGTATCTGAAAAGAGTGGGTCAGTCGGCGGCATACGTTAACTAGATTATATTGTGTACGTCGAGTAATTTGTCTACAACATCACACTGAATCTAAATTTCGAACACATTGATTTTTGATTTGGTTTCACACATTTTTCGATAATGAGGTTGGAAAAAGAAAATTCGAAATTCTACGATTGAGTGTATCTTATCTTTGAATTGCTATTATCGGTTCCAACCGTATCTACGTTAAGAGCTAATTTGACGTTGTTGAATCGATTGGTTTTCTTATTGTGTTAAATTGTTTGATACAGTGAAACGAAATTGTAGTGAGAACGCAAATATTATTTATTTGAAGCAGAATTATTTATTGCAAGAGAACAAGTTTCAGACGAAGAGCAAGTTACATTAATTTTACGCGAATATATTGTAATTAATTGTGAAAAATAAATTTTAATATTGTATAATATGTACAATATTAATAAATTCTATAAATATTTTAAATATTATATAAATTTATATAAATTCTATATGGAGTTTATATTATAATTATGGAATTTATTAGTTCTATATATAATAATTAATATATAAATAATAATATTATTTTATATTATAATAATATATTTTATATAATTAAGGAGTTTATTAATTCTGTATATAATAATATATGGAGTTTATATTATTTTATATAAATATATAAAATAATATAAACTCCATAAATATTACAATTTTAAATTTATACAATACAATCTAATATTTAATATATACAATATTAATAAATTCTATAAATATTATATTGTATAAATTCATATATATATATATATATATATATATATATATATATATATATATATAAAGTTTACAGATCTAAAATTCGCAAAATTAACGTAACTTGCTCATTATTGAAATTTCCTTGTGCTCTTTACACACACACGAAAAAAAAAAAACTATGAAAATTAAACTAAAATCAAATTTAGCAATCGCTAAAGTAAAAATATTATTATATTATTTAAATATATTGAAAAATTCAAATTGAAATTGCTTCAAAATTTAAAATCACTACGAACAAATGTAGCAACGCCGACGTCTAACCAATTAATACGCAAAGAAAGGCACATTGTATCACAATCTCTCGATAAATCTTCCCGAATAAATTACGACGAACTTACTTTAACTGGGAACTTGATGTGCTCCTGCGATTTTTCGTAGAGGCTCGGCAAACTTTTCGTCATGTCGCTGTCGAATTTGCCATTTTCGTCGACCACGTAAATCCAAATGGACGTGAGGGGCATGTCCGACGACGGTTTGGGGCTCGTTAGCTCCTGACACGGATTCTGATGGAAAATAATTTGCTCGTCGGATACCGGCCTGTGAAACGAAAAACGACCACGACATTTATATACGATTAGTCGAATTAGTACTTCAGAAATATAATAAGCCAACTATGAAATAAACAATTTGACTAATTGTTTATAAAGTTGACAAAACAGTGATTAAACGTGCATGAGATATATGACATATATATCGTGTTGTTCTTTTTTTTTTTTTTTTTAATTTTCATGTCAAAATTTCTTTGCGATATCTTTAAAACGCTCACGTTAGATACCAACGATACAGAGCTGGTTTCTTTATAAATAACATTACTCTGTATCCGGACACCAATCACGTATTTTCGAAGTTCCCTTTGCTCAAGAGATTCATTTTATTCGAGACAAATTGAATTTGTTGCTTCGCGATCGCTCGCTGCGGATGGATTGTAATTGGTTTGAAAAATTGAGATTTATTTGAGAATTTATTCCTCTTGCTTCTCGTAACGAGAATTTCTATTTATTTGGATCCGTGATATTGCAGAGATTTCTTTCTATAAATAAAATTATTCCATGCCAGCCGCGTGTTTTCGAAGGTTTCGAGTTCCTTCAATTAAGAGATTCCTTTATTCGGGACAAATTGGATTTGTTGCTTCGCGATCGCTCGCTGCGGATGGATTGGTAATTGGTTTGGAAAATTGAGATTTATTTGAGAATTTATTCTTCTTGCTTTTAGTAACGAGAATTTCTATTTATTTATTCTATTTATCCGTGATACCACGAATCTTTTTGTAAATAAAATTATTCTGTGCCTGTACTAATCAGGTATTTTCAAGTTTCCTTAATTAAGACTCTTGTCGAAGTAAATTGTGATTGTTTTAAAAAAATTGACAGACTTATCCGTGAAATGCTTTAGCTTTCACTAATCATAATTTATAGATTGTGGATTTTCGTGTAATTTGAAATTTTAGAACAGAATTGGGAAATTGGAGAAATTGAACAATAAACAAAATTGAAAAAAAATGCATGTAATGTACGAAAACGTATAAAATATTTAAAGTACTATGTTTTCTGTAATTGAAAATTGTATTAATTATATTCATTTGATTTTCGATTGGAAAATATGAACTTGTATAAAAATTATTAACAATCTAACGATAATACAATCTTGTTAGATAATCTCTAGATTATTTATTTCTATTATTTCTATAATCTCTAGAAGTTATAACATTTGTGTCGATCTACAGAAAGTAAACTCGTCTGTCAAATTTCAAATATCTCAAAAATAGAAAGAAAGTTGAATATTTTATGAAAACTTGATTAACTTGTTGGCTAAAATTCTAAAATATCGGCAATATTTCTTACATTTGTCTTAGACACGATCTCGGATCTTAAAAGACAAGAATTTATTATTATTTATTATTATTAAATTATAATTATTTTATTATTATATTAATATTATTATTATTACATTGTATTATGTTTTATATATTTTCTTTTAATTTATTTGTCTCTCACAATAAAAAGAAAGTATAAAAACCATCGTTACTTATTTAGAATTTGTTCAATTCTAACTAATGAATAAAACTCTTTAATAGATTCTAAACTAAAACTAAATAAACGAACAAATGAATAAAAATAAAACTAACAAATATATTACAATTCTATATAAATTAAATTAATGTAAAAATGATGTTTGAACGAATCTCATGACTGTGGCTCTGTGAATAAATCAAAAATAAATCTCCTCGTAAATAACGTGCAAAAGAATCTACAAGAACGCTCACTTTTTCATGCCGTCCGTCAGAATCTCCGCCAGCGTGACCCTCAGTTTGTCCATTTTCGGGCAAACGTCGTACGAGTTGCCCTCCATGTCGATACGAACCCAGCAGGTGATCTCCTCCTGGCTGGGCAGCAGTTTCGTGTCGTACGTCTTCACCGTAGATACGTCGGAAACCACGATCGGCGAGCTAGTGGAGCTCGAGACCGCGACCTTCGGCCTGATACTGACCGTGGCGAACGGAACACTGGAAGTCTCCACTCGCGTCGCGTCATCCGACGTGGACGCAAACTCCACAACAGTAGCTTCGGTGACGTTGTTCACCGTGAAACTTGCTTCCTTGGTGATGGTGTATTCAACTCTGACCGTCGTCGCGGCGTCCTCGTCGCTAAACGTGCCCCAAGAATCCGTCACGTCCACCTTTGTCGAAATTCTCTCCGTCTCTCCCATCATCTCTTTATCAACGATGGTGCTGGATCGAGTCGTGGGCTCGTTGGACTGCGTCGGCCTTGGTATCGACAGAGGAACGAGCGTTCGATCCGTCAACGGGTTATCGGTCTCGCTGCTCGACGAAGGCTCCTCCGTGATCGATTCGTTGCTCGTCGTTGATTCGTCGTCCTCGTTCGACGCGTTCCTCGTTAGGCCCTTCACCGTCGGCACGATCTCGCTCGGTAATTCGCGACCCTCGGCTGGCTGCTCGGTAAAGTTCCGCGAGAGGAACGCTGTCGACTCGGACAGGCCGACGAACTCGAACTCAACGCCGGTGGTGGTTGGTAGGAATGTTTCGTCGGGGCTGAGAGTTCCACCTGCGCTTCCTGAAGGGATTTCGTTGGTCCCGTTCGTCTCTGAGCCGAGGCTCGGGGACTCGGTGACGTTCCCCAATGATGTCTCCTCTACGGTAGTCGCGAGCAACGCTGCGTTGCTCTCCGTGCTAGCGTCATCCGTGGACGAAGAATTCAACGTAGACGATGAAGAATTTCCCTTGATCAGCGTGTACCCGGTGGATAGTTCGCCGGAAGACTCCGTGGTCAAAGTTGCTCGGCTGGTGGTCTCGTGGAACGTTCGTTCGACGCTCTCGGGCTTCGCGCTCACTTCCGTTATCCCGTTCCCCGTCACGTCCACGCTTCTATCGCTCCATCGAGGAACGTCGTTCCCCGCGCTTGTCGACCGCTCGAGTTTCACGGTCTCGTTCGTCGGCGTGGCTTCCTCCAACCGAGGCAAAGACGCGGTGGAACGAACCTCCGCGCTGGACGTAGTCGAGGACTCGTTGCTCCCTTTCTCGTACGCTGGTCGAAACTGTTGGATGCTGTTCTCCAACACGTCCGAAGCTTCGGTCACGATGAACTTCTCCTCGGACTGCCCCTTGCCGATCGTGTTCTCCAAAGCGGATGCTTCCTCGGTGGTCACTGGCAATTGGCTGCTAGCATTGCGAAACGATTTCACGTAAGGGTAAGGTCTGACCGTGGTACTATCGGTGGTATTTTTCTTTATTGTAGCAGGAATTCTTCTTGAATTTGTCAGTCGATTCTCCTCCGATCTGGAGGAGGAGGTCGTGGACGATTCTTCGCCGTTTCTTTCCGTGGTTAGCTGCACCGTTTCGTTGGTGTCCTCGACGTTCTCGTTCGACGTAGGTGGTTTCGTTTCGATCACCATCCGCTGAATCGCGCGTTGAGTCACGTTTTCTGCGACGACCTCCACCTCCTCTTTCGGATGTCGCGACTCGTGAGTCACCGGGATCTCCCCGGTGATGAAATTTGTCGAGTTCCCATCTCCGAGAGACCTCGGCCTGTTATTACTCGAGTCCACATCGTCGCTTGCCTCCGTCGACAGTTTTCGGTGGCTGTAGTTGACGTACGTATCGTTGATCAACGAGATTGACTCGTCCTTCTCCTCGTCGGCATCTTTCAGATCAGGGACCTCCGCGTTCTTCACTGAACCCTCCGCCTTTTTCTTCCTGTCTTGGAGCTCCTCCTGTCGTAACAGATTATATGGTCGTTATTTGCAAAACCGGTCGATGCTTTTGTAACGATCGTTTGTCAAAATAGCGACTTCTACACGTGTGAACTTGGCGTTCGTGTTCCGAATTTTAGATAAAAAACAGTTTCAATGATGGATTAGTTGAAAAGCATCTTCAGGTTTCTATCGTAGAAAAATATTTCCATTAATTTTGTGTGCAAAAATTTACAATACTACACTATTCACGCCAAATGAAATTGTGAAGAAATTCGACGAAATTGACGAAAAGTTTGACATTACTTCGATGTCAATTTTGTACTGACAAAACAGGATTATTCCTTGAAATACACACAAGTATGCATAGTTTTGTTTTCTTCGTATTTTTGTGTGAAATACTAAACTCTGAAATATCTTGTAGATTAAATAGATTGTAATATAATTATAACTATAATAATACGTTATACAGCGATTATTGTTAATCGTAATTGTCATTTATTATTACATTTTTATATTATATAATATAATCTTATGTATTTTTATTCAGCATCCGAAACCTGAAGTATAGTTGAGTCAGATAGATAATAATAATAAACACAGAGATCTTTCGCAATTATTAAATTAAAATTTCTAAAATCACATTTCACATGTGTGTGTAATGATTGATTTGAAATATAAGGTTCGGTATATTAGTATATTTATAAGTAAGTTGGCATATTTATACCTACTTCTATTTTGAATAAGTTTGATTCTTTGTGAATCGTACGAACTGTAGTGTAAAAGTAAATTTAAATTCTAAATATACAAATAAATTAAAAATATTACATAAATATAAAAAAAAACATACGATATTATATAAATATAGAGGGTGTCCACTGAGAAACTGAAAAGAGTTTGAGAAAATCGTGACTTGTTCATTTTCAAAACTATTGAAGTTTAGTCATTTGACGGATGTTTTCTACATAACACTGGAAAAAGATCCATTAATTATATTCCCAAATAAAATAATAAAAAATTAAAAAAAAAAATACGTGTCTGCGAAAGTTACTTCTGTTTCATATCATTTCGGTCTTTGAGTGACCACCCTGTGCATACAAATAGATTTATAAAAAAAAGTGCAATACACAAATTCGTAATATTACGCGAATAATTACATATTTTCAGAAATCTGTACTCGTAATTACCAGAGGAATCTTTTGCGGTGACTCGTTACCAGGCTTATCAAACGTTCCCGCTTTCAGCGTCGAATCCGAGCTCGTCTCTCCCCCTTCCAAAGATTTTACAACTTTTCCCAGCTCCTGCGCCAGACTGTCATTGGAAAGTTGACCCTCGACAGTCTTGTTCCTCGTCTCGTCGACTTTCGTTTCGTCCAACGTCGGTTTCGCGGTTACCGCGGTCAGTCCGTTGGTCCTCGAGAGTCTGTAAGAGTCCTCGGTTATCGTTTTCGTGCTCGAACTCTTGCCGGACGTTCCGTAGATCGCCTCCTCGAGTTTCGATCCACCGTTGAACGACACGTCCGATTTCTCGACTTGGTCGCGCGATCCGTTCTCGTCGATCGGCATCGCCACTTTCTCCTCGCCCTCTGCTTTGCCATCTTTCGCGAGCTCGATCTCCTCTGTCGTCGCGTTGTACGGATCAACCGCTTCGTTTCTCTTCGCCGTTAAGTGATACTCTGCCTCGTCCTTGGATGGTATTCCGTTTACGATCGTGTTGTTCCTTTGGAATATCGGTTGCCTCTCCGAGCTCGATGCCGGAGGATCCTCCGTCACGTCTGCGGCCACCGCGCTGAACAGCAGCAGGAAAACACCTGCGAATATAAGTGAAACGTTTGTTTTACAGTGATTGTATTTATTCGTTGAAAATGTAACGAAAGAGACGATGCCACTCGACACCATTGAAACCATCGGAGACGTTAAAATGAAAAAAAAAGAAGAGAACAGAGAACTTTATAATACAGTGGAGTACGTAGGATTTTTTCTTGAAATTACTGACTGTCGATAATTACTGGAGTCGATAAAGAAGAGGAGACTTTTATATATTACTATATATTATACTTATATATTACTATATATTATATTACTATATATTATACTATATGTTATACTGTAGTATATATGTAGTATACTTTAGTATTATAATATTATTATAGTACTATAGTGCTATGTACATAGCATAGTGAATTTATTACTATTAGTATACTATAGTATTATAATACTATTATAGTACTATATTATATTACAGTATTACAATACTATTATAGTACTATAGTACTACATACTATACTATTATAGCACAGTATATTTATATTATTACTATTATATAGTATATTATGATACTATTATAGTACTATAGTGCTACATACTATACTATTATAGCATAGTATATTTGTATTATTACTATTATATAGTATATTACAGTATTATAATACTATTATGGTACTATAGTATATTACAGTATTACAATACTATTATAGTACTATAGTGCTATATACTATACTATTTACATTATTACTATTATATAGTATATTATAGTATTATAATACTATTATAGTAGTATAGTATATCACAGTATTACAATACTATTATAGTACTATAATGCTATATGCTACACTATTATAGCATAGTATATTTGTATTATTATTATTATATACTATATTATAGTATTATAATGCTATTATAGTATATTACAGTACTATAGTATATTACAGTATTACAATACTATTGTAGTACTATAATTCTATATACTATAATATTATAGCATAGTATATTTATATTATTACTATTATATAGTATATTATAGTATTATAATACTATTATATATTAGTAATATAGTATAGTATATTATAGTATTATAGTTACATTATATACTACAGTATATTATAATATAGTATTATTATAATGTAATATAAAATAAAATTTCGCAGAGTATTTTCAACATTGCACAATATAAAATTATAAATTAGTGATTTTGACCATTCTAATGTTAAAATTATAATACGTCCAATAATTGGCAATTAAATTCACACTATTACAAATCCGTGAAAAGAAATCGTACAACGATCAACCAGGCCTCACTTTAAAGTACGGCACCTTCCCTTATTTCTGACATGTTTTTGCATCACGTAGACAGTGAGAAAGTGAAGATACTGTTTTATTAAAAATGTTACAAATTGTCATAGCTTATAAAAACGTTGTTCTGGTAACTGAAAATTTTTCTGACAACTGGATTCTACCATGGATTTGAAGAGTGAAGTCTCTTTTTTATAGCAAGCCCCTAAAATTTGACGTACGATTTTGTTTTACTGTTTTGCCGAACATGCAACGAGGTAATTATTAAATTACACGTTCGGACTTGTACAGCCAAGGAGATTATATTGAATCGCAATTGAGTCGTAAAATTATATTGAACCATAATATTGCAATTACACTGATTACTACTGAATATTAATTAAAGATTATGTATATTTTAATAATATTCAATTATAGTGTCTATTATTCTCGGTTTAAATTCGCGTCGGAAATTGTTAAAAATAAAGGAAATTCAAATTACTTCCAAGTAACTTAATACAAATTTAAGCTAATGAAAGTTTTTTTTAACCATTATTGCAAGTTATATAACAATTTAATATATTCGAAAAATAGTATCAAATTACGCTTGCTGTACGAATTATGTTTTCTATTTGAAAAAGGGCGAATCATGATGCTAGAGGGAAATAAATTTAAACTCGAACTTCTAGTACGTCAAAATTAAAAAAAAAAAAAAAAACAAGAAAGAAAGATTAAAAATTACATTTTTAAAAAAGTAAACTATGCCGTTGATGACATTCGTCATGAAATTCCGAGATATTCGTGGAAAACGGGAATATTTTATTATTAATACTCTCCCGTGATGTTTGAATTTCATACTACTCGTATTATCTAGAGCAATTACGTAAATCTGATAGTGAGTGCAGTCTGCGACTATGATTGCATTCACGTAGCTATGTGGGTTACTGTTGGCCGGATTAGAGAGGATAAACAGGAATTACAACAAAATAATAACGAGCTGAATGGAACTTAACGATAACGAGTAATATACATTATAATTTGTGTAAACCCTCGCTTAAACTATCGCAGGGCGAAATATATTTATTATGTAATATACATAATATTAATATATATATTTATTACATTTATTATGTAATATACATAATATTAATATGTATATTATTTATTATATTTAACTGGTTGATTTATTTTATGAACAAACACGTATGTCTTTATCAAGTGCTTCTAACACGTCTACGAAATATGTTGCAATTGAATCATAATATTTAAATAGAACATCGTTTAAAGTTCCGAGTAACATTCGTCTCAATAAAACAAAAAAGGTTACGTTCACCAATTATTCAATTCTTAAAGAATTTTTCCAACGCGAAAAAGAAAAAAAATTTTGCGATTTTTGTCTGCATGAGCCATGTATATATACATTTTTTTATTTTATCAATCCTGTTTAAATTGACGAATTTTCATCCAATTTCTTAAGACTTCAGTCTCCCATATTTTGATTGGCCTAATCCAATAGGGAATCTGAAGTACTTGAATTCAAAATTATTTCAAAAATTCAAATTCACACTGCACCGTATTAAACAAATATATTTAAATCTGTATAAAAATAAATGTATCCTTAATTTCTTGCACGTTCCACGTTCGTTAATAAATTTCTAGACTTCTGGTAACATTAATATTTGGAGGGATAGGTATAATTACGAACGTGATGATTAATAATGACATGCCAAATACATCTTTAATTTCCTACATACTTCACCATATTAAATCTCTAGACCTTTAGTAGTAATAATGTATTAACACTGAACGCTGAAATGCATTAATAGTTATCAAATGCAGTCATTCGAGGTCACGAATCATTTGCATGTAACAACACACGCAAGAAACTTAATATTTGTAGATGTTATTTGATTATCTTAATAATTGTAGATGTTATTTGATTATTTTTATATTTATTTTGTTATACATTATTTCAAATTTATAAATAATATAATATATAATAAGTAATATTATATATATATAAATTATTTATATATTTATTATATATATATATAATAAATAAAAAATAAATCTATAAATAATTTATATAATGTAAATAATATATTATTATAATAATGTTATATTTATATTATGTACAATGTAAATATATTATAATAATATTATATTTATATCACATATAATATAAATAACAATAAATAATTTCACAAATAATTTATATATGTATAAAAATATATATATATATAAATATTACATTCAATTTCCAATTAAAAAATTTATTTAATTATATATAAATTATATATATATTATTTATTATATATTTATTATTTATTATTATTATTATTTCTTATTATATGTATTATATAATATATATAATATACAAGTGTATATACATTTTAGAAAATAGCCACGAAACGACATATAAATCCAGGCGTTAATTGCGCGTCAGCCTCTTAATCGCCTAATGATCCGATCGTTGAAGGATAATCGTTACTTCGTCCCGTGAACAAGCGTCCTCGTTGTCGGATCGGTGAACCGTGAACAATGTGTCGTGGCCGACGAACAACACGTGCGAATAAACGAGAGGAGGAATGGATATTGACAACGCAACGGTGACTGGTTCTCACAGTCCAGATGAAATAAAAATGACCGTGGACAGCTTTTTTTTTTTCTCTCTTTTTTTTTAATGGATCTAAAAACCGGTTCGCCGGTCGAATTACTCGGCCATCGAGAAACGATTCATGAACCTTCTACCGTGATGCGGTTCGCCGCGCGTTCAGCGCTATGATGACGGATAGGAGATGAAAAAAAAAAAAAAAATGCGTGTGCTAACATGATGCGGGTACACAGATCTCGAAAGAAGCATGCGTGCGAATCTTGATCTTTGCCTGATGTTGCGTGAACAACATGCACGAGTAGTGTATGTACACATGTACACTGGGAAATATTAGGTGTAAGTAACTATATTTGTATAATAGAAAATAGCGCGGTGAATGTAAATTATGAATTATACACGATAAATGCAGTATTTGCAGTTGGTAGATTGCTCTATAAAAATATGAATTGTTTTTGTTAAACAGAATACATTTGTTTTGTAAAAATAGTAGCGATAAGTATATAAACTATGATACGATAAATACAGTATAAATTATACTACAAAAATTATATGAGTTATGATATGTAATATAATATATATTATATGATATATATAATATTATAATATATACATTTGTTTCGTAAAAATGGTGCAATAAATATAAATCATGATACGATAAATGCAATATAAATTACATTAAATTACATGAGTTATGATATATAATATTATATATAATACGATATAATATATATTATTTATAATATTATAATGTATAGTTATGATATATAATATTATCTAAAAGCATAAATTATATGCATAATATCCAATATACTGTAATTATATGCATAGTATACTGTAAATTATGTGCACAATATCCAATATAATATATTGATCTATATAGAAAAATCAAAACATTACTTTATCAATATACGCTTCTTTTTGATAGCAGTCGAGATAAAATTGACAGTAAAAGGTATAAAGAATATTGCACAATGTTACATAAATCAAGAACTGGCCAAATTATGAAGATCAATGAATAAGATTGTTAGCACGTAAGGATTAACTCTGTAATCATTACATTTTTATAATTAAAAATCATGTTTTTTGCAATATGTGGATATTCAACAGAAACTATTAAATTGAAAATACGTCTCATTTTTTTTTTTTACGTTTCAAGTATAGAATAAGAACATCACGTTCGTAATTACAAAAGTATCATTGAATCATAAAAGTAGTTCGTTTCAATTCAAGAGACATTATACAATGCCATTATGTACTCCTTTTGAAACAAGTTTTATCCAACAAACCAGACTTAAATGCAAAATAGAGTCATTGAATAAGCATGTGGAGCAAAAATTTTCCATCTGGAAAAACTCGTTTTCAAGAAAATCTACGCACGACCGTTTGCAAATCAGGCAGAGCAGAATCACAGAGAATGAATAACACTTTCATGATTGTTAAAAGAGTTGCAACTTTCTCAGACGAAAATCTCGTTATCTAAACATACGCACACAAGTGTTGCAAATGTAGTGAAAACTAGCAGACGTTGAAAGAAACACATTGGAAGGTAATCAGTTGTTCCACGCTTTGAGTGGACAAACTACAAAAAAATACGAAATGATAAAGGGAATAAAAGTGAATAAAATACGAAATTGGAGGCAAATGAAAAACAAACGAACTATCAATAATATGTAAATTCAAACTTACCAGGACAAATATAATTATACAGAATAAAAGATGATTGAAAAATAATTCTGACGAGTGGAAAAAAAAATAAACTTCTTCGTTTTTCGAAAAAAAATCGAGTTTCAAGTTTTCTGAAATATATTTAAATTTGATTAATTCTGGCGCCAATAATCGACTTTAATTTTTCATTTTTTTTCACGTGGAATCATCTACTTTGTCTCGGTTGTCACAGGTATAGTTCAATCGTAAGCCTAATTGGATTGAATGGCCTTTGAAATTCACATGTGTCGACGAGCGTACGTATTTTAAAATGGTTTTAAAAAAACCATACTAGCGCATTGAATCACGAGTGTCCAAGAAAGAATCCCAGCTTTCTAATTCTTTAATCGATTTGGATCCTCCTTTTTGCATTCCTCGCGGAGTCGCCGATTCGGAACGGATCATCCGGTAATAACGCGGATTCGGCTGGAAACGCCGGCAGGAAACTTTCGATTTCGTTTTCGTACACAATGAACGGATACGCGGGACTCTCGATTTCGATATTATTCATTACTTATTTCTCACGTCGTACGAGGAACTTATTAATTATTCGACTGCGAACACGTGCAATTTAGAAGCAAGGCAAAGATCAGGCAAGTATTTATTTAAATTCCACTTTCTGTTATCAATAAAACGTTGAGACTTGGATAATTGTAATAAATATTTTATCTTGGATATTTCACGTATTTCCGTGTGGTAAAACATCATTATAATTGGATACATTTTTTTTTTTCGATACATAGTATAGAATTTTTATGGAATATTTTTTTCTACATTTTATATCTTTGTGTGTGTGATAAAAAAAATGAAATTTAGACAAAGATTTATTAATTTATTGTATAATTACTTTACTTTTAATGTTTATGCATTTACAGGAAATTGAAAAGTGCAGAAACGTATAAAACATCCAAAAGTTGTATTTATTATAATTAGACCGTGAATATATATATATATATATATATATATATATATATATTTGTATTTTTGCATGCGTAACTAAAAAAATGGAAATAATGTGTATGTGTTATATCACAAAAGTAAATACGTATATTATAAAATATATATAATATGTATATTATGTGTGTAGAATGTAATATACAAATTATAAAAATAATAAATGAAAATATATAAAATATATGTGTAATTGGAAGGAGAAAATCAAATTTGTTTATTCAGTACGTATGAATTCAGCTAACTATCCGCCAAGAATGAATAGAAAATCAGCAAGTGGTTCTCCTATTAAATTGTGTAACACGTTCATTCACCTTTCCATGTAACATCTCGTCGCGTTATAATATTACAGAAAATGCGACACGATATCAACTGAACAATAAGCAAACGTACAATGAATATTGTTTACAATTGTATTATCCAACGAATAACAATCAGCAGGGGATCATATGATTATCATGAATATCGAACAAAAGAATTATTTATATGCACACATCGGATTGCAAACAACAAGAATCACTACGGTTTTGTTTGGAAGATCTATGTTCATCGGTATATTTATTGCTCACTGCATTAATATTGGAATATCGTAATCAATAGTTTCAACATTCGCGAGCGATTATCAAACAAGATAACGTGGAAACAAAATTCCCGGTGGAAGAATAAAGAAAGCGAAGGCATACCGCTTCGTTTATTTTTAAACAAACGCGTCGTCGATCAGAATTCAAAAACAACTGTTTGTAATTTTGGTATTTTCATTATAATGCAGTTGTTGTTTATAAAACTCTTTATGTTCACAATTTTATTTAAGTACAATCCAGGCAAAAGTAATAAATTTACATCACTTCTCAGTGACGAGTTCAAGAAGAAAGCGACGAATTAATTGTACACGGGTTCGGTCACTCGTTACGGTCCGCAATCCAGCTGCCGGGCGCAAGTGGTTAGTCTTCAACACTCTGATACCGTTTGGCGGGATAAAAATGAAATGAAACGAAACTCTCCGTGTATTTGCCTCCCGATGCACGAGTTCGCGCGAAAACGAACGCGCGTTCGATTTTTGACAAACCACTCGTAGGAGACTCGCGGAGGAAAGTAGGCACGACGCAACGGTAAATCCGTATTGTCGAGGCAAGTGTTACGGTTTTAGCCCGCAGTCCGGCACGGCATGGCGATTCTAACAGTACTTGATAGCCGGACAACGTGGTTCGTGCCCTCCTCCCCCTCCTCCCGATTATCAACCTTTATGCGATGCAACAGGATGAACTCGAGACTCGAGACTCCGACTCTCTGTTCAATGGAAACGAGCGTCGCCGTCAACGTGGTTACACGCGCGTGAAAGTTATGACAAAATGGCTCGCATCGGCGTGATTTATCACTCGTCGTGACGTTCATTCTCGGTTCGTAGAAAGTTTGTAACTTAGAAATAATCAGCGTCTTTGGTTCAGCGTAAGGAAATCAGCTTTGGATGGAAATGGTTGTGGAAATGGTACTTGGACACCAGTTGTGTACAGTTGCTTGTGAAAGTATACTTACTAGACACGTTGTATAGTTGCTGCTGGAAGTATTTAAACATGCTGTATAATTTATGAATGCAATTTACATTATGCTGTATAGTTTATGAAAGTATTTAAACACGTTGTATACTTTGTTTATGAAAGTACTTGGACACGTTTTACAGTTGCTCGTGAAAGTATTTAGACACATTGTATAGTTGCTTATGAAAGTTACTTAGACACGTTGTTAGAGGTTACTGAAGAAACTGAAGAGTTTGATGGAGCCCGTATTTGTGAAAATGGTGCTTTGAAGGATGCTGTTTTTCATGAATGATATTGAAAAAAGTCCATTAATTATATTTCCAAATGAAATAATAAAAAATTAAAGAAACATGTGTTTGTAAAAGTTACTTTTGTTTTATATCATTCAGTCTGTCAGTGACCACCCTATATGATGTTAGTGAAATTTTAAAATGTCTTCATATAACACACATAATACAGATATACACATACGTGATAAATTCAAATTCAATTTGTATCTTTAACTGATAAATAAATCAGTGTCAATAAAATATAAATAATAATAATGAAAATATCAATAAAATATGATATCATATGAAATAATAATGATAACAATATCTAAGTTATTCCAGTATATCTATAACACACATAGTTTCAGAGATGTACACTGTGTATTTAGCAGTTTAATTAATTGTGCAAGTATAATATGAAATAATAATGATAAAAATATCTAAGCTATTCCAGTATATCTATAATACATATAGTTTCAGAGATGTACACTGTGTATTTAGCAGTTTAATGAATTGTGCAAGTGTAATATGAAATAATAATGATAAAAATATCTAAGTTATTCCAGTATATCTATAACACATATAGTTTCAGAGATGTACACTGTGTATTTAGCAGTTTAATGAATTGTGCAAGTATAATATGAAATAATAATGATAAAAATATCTAAGTTATTCCAGTATATCTATAACACATATAGTTTCAGAGATGTACACTGTGTATTTAGCAGTTTAATGAATTGTGCAAGTATAATATGAAATAATAATGATAAAAATATCTAAGTTATTCCAGTATATCTATAACACATATAGTTTCAGAGATGTACACTGTGTATTTAGCAGTTTAATGAATTGTGCAAGTCGATCGATGAATTCGTGTTCGTAATGTTTGCTTACCTATGCATACTCTCAACGCGAGAGGCACTCTTCTTCTTCGAGTCATCTCCACCGTTCGTTAGACCTCCTCGCAGAATCTGCAAATGAAAATTACAATTAGATTTGCACGTACTCGCAAATGATTTGCTCTCGGTTTTTCGTTCTGTATTATTTGTTCAAGCAATTGGAGACAACATGCTTATTTTGAATAATTTTTTGGATAAAAAATTTTTTTTTTTTTTGAAGCTACGATTACATTACCTGTGTATTCGCATAATTATTATAATTCCCATTTGTGTGATATACGCAGAAATGATTTGACCATCTTTTTAGTTTCAGATCATTCTTTATTAAGAAGTTTATATTGAAATGATTTATTCAGTTGCTCAGTTTTTTTTTAACAATTTCCATTGCTCTTAGAGTTTTTAATTTACCATTGTTTCTTGTTTCTTTTTAATCGTGAATGTTTAAATTTTGAATGCAATGTCAATTAAATTTATTTTAATTTTTACGTGCAAACCAGTTACCATTTCACTTTGAACTTTTAAAATGAGGCTACATATGAACCTCTCGTTTAACAAGTGAAAAATGAATTTACTATGAAAACAGTAAGTATCGAGAATATTTATTTGATATTAACGAAAGACAAAAACCAATTTTTGCACTGATGAGCAAATAATGGCACTCAGTTACTCGTTACCTTAATTAATTCACTATTGAAAGAAATGTTGCTTTCTTTTCAAGTTATATTATCGTCGTCTCACTTTGTTTCCTTACAATAAACCCATCGTGACGTTTCTTAATTTATTGCAAAGTATTACACGAAAGTCCAATTTTCACAACGTTGAGAAAAATTGTACTCGAGTTGCTCGTCAATCAAGGTGCTAACTTATGTAGCTAAACTTCAACCTTATGAAACAAAGAAACTACGATGCTTGAATTCAACCTTCGACATTCACTTTTCATCGAAATTTTTCTCTCTCTCGAAATGAAATTTTAAACGTTCGTGTGAATAACGAGTGATGTAGCGACTCGCGGGATGAAACTTGAAGGGTAAAATCTGACTGGGAAGAGATCAGAGACGAGGCGAATTTTTTACGCGGTTTCCGTGAAAATCGTCCGTGAAATGGAAAAAAAAAAGAAGAAGAAGAAGAACAAAATAGTTGCGGTGGAATGCTATACGCTGGAAGTAAAATTCGAGTGAAACTTTTATCTCGTGCCTCGTCCGTGGAAATTCCAACGTTTCTAAAGAGACTCCCGCGGGGAAAGTGGTCACAGTATAAGCGGTGGTTTTGTTTTTTTTTTTTTTTTTTGCGGTTGAAAAAGAGAGAAAAAACGAAAGAAAACGCGAGCTCTTTGGACGACGGCCAGCGATGAAATCCGAGGCACTTTAAAAATCTCTTCGGACACGACGACTCGTAGTTTGAAATCCTTGATAAAGTAGACTTCCGCGGATTTTTACCGCGAACTTATATTTTTCAGCGCGCATTAGGAAAGATAGGATTTCGATGGAAAGTTGTTTCACGTATTATGAAACTGTGCTTTGAGTATTTCACGGTTTTTTTTCTATATTGTATGTAGTATATCCAGTTTTGTCAATTTCAAGTTTCGTATGAATCCATAAATCCTAAAGTTTCAAAGAGGTTTTTGTACTTCGATGACAATTTTAGTTTCAATATCTTACAAGTATAATATTTTTTTGTCCAATTCCATTTATTTTGTTGCAAACATATTTCCGTGATTCTACGGAAAACGTCGCATGTCGCTAGCTCTTTTTATTAGAAACATCTCCCTCGGTTTTTCTTTCTTTTGAAACCTATGAAATTTATTCTCGTGCATGTTCTCGCTGTGGATAAAGAAATCTTTTACAATTCTACGATTCAGTCAACGCACAAATTGTAGACCGTAAATTGTAAAACTTTGTGAAAACTTTTCCTCGCCATCCACAGACTTTTCAACTCTGGTAATTTTTATCAACTCCACTCCAGAGATACGACTTAACCTAACTTGAATCTAAACATACTATTGCATTGCTCTCGCTTATATTACTTAACCTAATTTGAACCTAATTTAAACCTAGTGGACAAGTCTATTCATTACTCTCGCTTGTATAACCTAAACTTACCTAACCTATTATTGAACCTAACTTAAACTTAATCTATTTTTCTTTTTTTTTCAGAGATCTTCAAAGGACAACTGGCTCCTCTGGAGGAGAAAAATCAAATCTAAACCTCTGCACATTGGAGAGTTCAGGGAAACTTAAACTTAACCTGTTTTCTCTTTTTTTTTTTTTTTTTTCGTTTAAAAGCTTATCTTCTCTGGGCGGGGAAAAATCAGATAAGTTTAGGAATAACCTAAACTTACATAACCTAACTTAAACTTAATCTATTTCTTTTTTCGTGGAGATCTTCAAAGAATAACTAGCTCCTCTGAGGGGAGAAATTAGATAGTGTTGGGTTTTTACCGACTAAAACTTCCTAGAAGTAACCTAACTTCTGCACATTGGGCAGTTCAGAGAAACTTAAACTTAACCTATTTTTTTTTTTTTTTTCTTTTTCGTGAAGGAAATCTCCAAAAGCTTAGCTCTTCTAGGCGGGGAGAAATCAGGTAAGTTTAGGAATAACCTAACTTAAACTTAACCTATTTCTTTTTTTGTGGAGGAGATCTTCAAAGAACAACTAGCTCCTCTGAAGGGAGAAATCAGATAGTGTTGGATTTTTACCGACTAAAACTTTCTAGAGGTAACCTAACCTCTGCACATTGGGCAGTTCAGGGAAACTTAAACCTAACCTAAACCTAACCTAGACTTGGGTTTACTAGTGTATCACTCTCGTCTATATTGCTTTTCCATCAAGCGGAACAACAACTGAAGCGATAGTTACAACGTAGAAGAACGTTTGCCAGACGTGTTCGTTCGGACAGAAGGAACATCTTTGGGAATCTGTTGTTGTTCCTTTGAAAACAAAGCTTCGAGCAAAATGTCAGAGGGGAAAGAGAACGAACGCGGATAACGTGTGACCTGGTTCGCGACACGATTCTTCACCTCGCCGCGCTGGCTTTAATTCTGCGAGGTAAAAGTTGACGGGACAAAACTGCGGAACGTTGTGTCCAACGTTTCTGGCGATCATCACGCGTTTGATGAGCTTTTCCAGCCGGTGTAATGATTCTTACTTCACATTACCCCGGCGCAATACATTGACAAAAGCTATTATATTGAACGAGGCTACAGACTCTCTTCGTATTCGGTAACGTTAATGAATCACAGAGATTGGAATCGAGTTGCTAGAGTTCTCGAGCAGAAGAACAGCCTCGGGGCGGTGCCGATCAGGCAGGAAATGTACTGTCGAATGCGAGAAGAAGACCTTCGGGATGTACAAGATGCGCAGGAATGTTTAATTGGATTCTACGCTCTTTTCTCCTTTCTCTTTGAATCTTCGAGATTGGCGGAGTTGCAGGGAAGTTTGTAAGTCACTGACTCTTGCTCTTTTCAAGGCACATTCAAACCCAGAGATCAAAGAAGAACTTTTTCATTAAAAAAAAAAAAAAAAAAAAAAATTACTCGAATGTATAAAAAAAAGAAGTCTTTCTGGAATTTTTTTAGACTATGACGTTCACGTAGAACAGACATTTTAGAATCTGCATAATAAAAGTTTGATTGGAAGTTGAGGAAGCTGTTCTAGAACATTTAATTAGAAATCGATTTTCATGTTAATTAAAAACAGTTCCACATTAAGCAATCTATAATTGAATTTTACATGGCATGGGTATTTATTCCAAATAAAACTGGAAAATTACTCGTTGTATCGTGGATGATTTTTTAATAGAGATTGATATTAATGTAAAAGTATTACAAATATGTTTTATTTTTTTATTTTAATAGCATTATTTCTGATTCTTTGAATTTTGTAAAGATTTCACAGTGTTTTAAGAATTTTGGCATTTTTAAATGGCTTTAAATTTCCTGTCTTCGGTATTAAAACTTTTAGATTTTAGAACAAAATGTTTCCATTTGCGTTTATTGTAACGATGAGAAATTTCAGTTATATACTCTCTACTGTTTTCAGCAAAAATACTGCTTTCACAGTAGGTTAACTGAACTAAGATTAGTTTCAAGATTATGAATGGACAATTTGTTCGTTTGTTCCATTGAATCTCACTATAATAGATAAATCGATTAGATCGTTCGTTTCGAGAGAAACTGGACTACTTGTTTCGTAAGTCTTCATTCTCTTATTTCTCCTGGTTCGTTGTGCCACTTGACATTAGACACTCGTCTTGATACCAGAGCTTGCTCTAACACCGAACACGGTCATTTTAACTTTTCTCTCCCACCCTTTTTCTCTCCCTCATTATTTTTTCGTACTCTTGGCCAGCAAGAGGTTCGCGAGAATTTTACGGTAAATGAGTTCTTTATAGCTTTGTGGAAATACGATATATTACTCTGAAATTTAACAATAGAAATTTCTTGATGAATGTATTACATAAAATTGATTGAAACGACATTATTTTTAATTGTGTTGTATTTTAGATGATTGTTATATGTATGTAATTAATTAAAATTAAAATATCAACACTTTAGTAATATAATAACAGTTGTAAGAAACATTTTGAAATTTTACCAATCACGTAGCACGAGTCACGACTGTCGATGATGATTTTGGTAAAATTTGGAAACAACTTGAAAATATATTTATGGTGGACGAGTAAACAGTCAAACAATGTAAGTTATCATTCTCGAAAAGGTGATGTATTTTGAAGTACAATTTCCAAAATAACAACGTTTTTTATAAAAAAACATTGATTGGAATTACTTTTCCTGATTTTGTAATTGGTAAACTGCAAATGACAGTACTTGCATACTACCGTAAGCGAATGAGGCGTATTACTATACACACGAGCAGTTTCTTTGCCCTCACCGACCCGCATTTGTCGTCCCACGCACGAGATCATCGCTAATTAAGAATTTGCGAATTTCAGTCACGTCCAACGATAAAGACACTGTATTTTTAAAAACAGAACGGGGGAGAAAAGAAATGAGATCTCACTCAATTATACCTGCTCAGCAGCTACTTAATAGAGAACACGAATGTATCATTAA